ATTCTTTCCCAAATACTAAACTTTTAATAAAAACTACTTCTACAATTTTATCAATAATGAGTGAATGGACTTGTTCTGTATAAGAAGCTCTTTTTGATAAAATTTAAAATTACAGCATAAAAGAATTGATTGTGGGCCAGTGATGTCTCTGGGATACCTGGAGATGAAAATACAAACTATTCTCCTCCCTTGTGAGTGGAGCTTCACATTCTGTGTAAAACTTCACAGTTTGCATAGTCCTTTCATAAGGCCAAGATTATGACCACTTCACAGGGAAGGAAGTGGCAGGCCAGGAAGCTCCAGGATCACATGGCTTCTGAAGAAGAGCTGGTCTAAACTCAAGTCCTTCCCCTCTGTGGCCCTGGTCTAGCTGAAGTACCTGCTCCTTGGATCATCTCCAGTGTTCCTGGCTCCCAGGAAATAGACAGCTGGCACTGCAGGCACTCTGGGGTCAGATACACAAGCAGAGGCGCCTGCTCTAAAATGGATGTGTGGCATATCTTGGCCACCAAGAGACACTTCCCCTCCTCTTCAGTGTCTGCACACTGGCCATCTGAGTAGAAGCATGGAGAGAGGGTGTCAGAGTCTCTTGGTGACCAAAATCCAAAGCTGGGTCCATGGTGTTGAAAACTTTTTTTTTCACGGAAGCCACCCAAACTTTGTCATTGTATTAAGCTTATCTCTTATGTTTGCTCATCTCATGGGGGGAAGATGTCATTGCCCTCTCTCAATTTTATGGACATCTACTCACAAGTATTCATTTATGAAATGACTACCACTCTCTATGGCCTCGGCACACACAAATCTAGACACAAGGAGGCCCTTGGAGTTGCCATGAGTGGCTGTGTCCGGGATCAGGGAGAGAGCATCCTTGGCTCATGTCCATCAGCCTAGTCCACCCTGTCAGGCTACCCACTTTCCAGGAAGATGTCACCTCTCCACCTGCTGGGCCAGGTCCTTGACCAGCTTCTGAGCCAGCCATGTTCCCTGTGCTGTTCCCAGTCTGCAGGTACTTCCTGGAACAGGGTAGGCAGGAAGTACAGACCTAGGCACAGGGTCCACAGGGAGTTGTTTCACAGGTCCTTCTCTTTTTCAGATACCAGAAAAGTTGCACCTGACTTAGGCTTTCTCAGAGGCTTCTGGGATTGACGCTGACTTTCCCTTTAGAAAAACTTTCATGCCTCTCCTTCCTATTCCCCAGATTAGAGCCCTGAACACTGCAGTATGTGGTGAATCATTTGAAAGCCATGACCAAGGGAAAATGGTCTGGATGTGAGATTTCTATGCCAGGTATCCCTTTTATCTAAGGAGAGATGTCAGGCAGTCGGCTTGGTGCATGAGATAGCATGGTGTACCTGGGGTACGGCCTGTAGATCCTCCCAAACTAAATACTTGGTAAATAGGATTGGGTTGGGGTAGCAATGATTGTTTCACTGTTGTTTACCTTGGTGATTCTTCATTGTTTTTAGGCTCCTCCTCCTCCTCCTCTTCCTTCCCTTCCTCTACCTCCTTCTTTCTCTGGTATGTGAGAGATCAAACCCAGGACCTCATGTATACATTGAGCCATACGTCCAGCCACTAAGCTTTACTGATTCACTTCCTGACACCTATTGGATGAGTTCTTTAGGCAGTGGGGTGGACAACATCTCAGGAATGGCTTGAATTTAGCCCTGGCTAGACCATTACAAGGTTATCAAACAGACATAGCCAGGCTGTTAACCCAGGCTCAGAGCTTCAGGTCGTGTGTGTGTCCCAGATGCCATCTGGAATTGCACAGTACTCTGGGATCTAGATGAAATGAGCTTGAATTCCCCCAAAGCCTCACCTAAGATTTCTGAGGATGCTGGTGGAGAAGGAATTCATGTGGACATTCTGCTTCCTAGAACTGCTTTTAGGAGAACTGTCTTGGCCCCATCACATCAATCCAGAAATGAAACTCAAGTTCCCATCTTTTTCCACTTGCGTATAAAATGATTCATGCACTACATCTTGCTAAACCTTTGGAAGGAGCAGGGAAGGAATTAAAGAAAGATGGAATTAAAGGAAGCAGCTTCATATGCCACACCACCCTTCCTAGAACTCTTGCCTTATGGCCACTGCGAGTCTCTTAGTAGCCCATTTCCCCAAACCCTCGCACTGGCCCCTCTCTTCTCCCCTGGGAGGAGACACTCCAGCATTTCCTGCTGTCCTGTGCAACAGGGCAGCCCTTGCCTGGGCCAGCGTGGTTTGTACTGACACACAGACCTGGGGTCTCACTCATTATCTCTCCCAAGCAGCTTATCCATATCCAGTCATTTACACACACACACACACACACACACACACACACACACACACACACACACACCCTTGCTGGTCATCTCCAGTCATTCAGTGCCCTAAGGGTGGACTGCTGACCTGACTACTCTTTATCTCTCATTTTCCCTCAACCAGAAGAGCCATGGCTTCATTATCTTTTGCTGAACTTTATCTCACAGATTGAGCTCCTGTTTACTTGGAACACCAAGGAAAGTGGACAGTGGCAAAGGCTACATGGAGAAATTATGCCAGTGCAGTCAGAATGGGGCATTTGTGAAGTGAGCTCATAGGATTCATAGAGGAGACAGGATAGAATGGAAGATGGAGTGACGTGGACACAGACACAGAGGCATGGATATCCCTGATGTGTTCAGCTGGGCCTGTGACTGTGACCAGAGAAAGAAGGACACAGCTGGAAAGTTAAACTAGAGCTGGCAGCCTGCTAGAAGTTCAGGCAGTAGCAACTATTTACCAAGCCCCAAATTGGAGCTCATGGCAGCAAAGGGAGAGTGCCATTGGGAGTGGTCATCATGGCCAGGACACAGGACACCAGGGACCTCCTCAGTATTTGGATCTGGGGCCTCAGGAGCAATTGGAGCCAGCAGAGGCAGAGGCTTATATCCAGAGGAGTGAGGTGCTCAGGCTGTGCTAGAGGATGATCTGTCTAACCACAGTGCAGAGGCCTGGAGGGTGGGAGACTGGAGGCTGCAAGTGAAGAGGCCGATGCCAAGGTCCAGAAAGAGGTGGAAGGGACATAGGGGTGAGGGTGCTTGTCTAGAGCTGCCTCAGAGGCAGGAATTGGGGGCTGTAGAGCCACTGGGTGCCATCACCTCTGTGCTTCATGACAAACAGGAGCATCCCGAGGTCTGGTCAAGGCCAGTGCCAGTCAGGGGGTTCCACAGGCCAAGTTCCCCACAAGTCACCCCAAGTCCCTGTTCCCTCCTCCTGGGCAGGGATGGGGGAAGTCAGCAGATACTGCCCCCTCCTTTCCCTTACCTTGTCCCTGCCTATAATATGCATCTCAACTTTCACACACCTGGCTGACATCCTCAGTACCTGCCCTGAAGTGTGTGTGGACTTTGCACTTCAGAAGAGGGACTGCTTGGAGTTGTGGAGTTACCCAGAGTTTCCTGTATCATTCAAGAGGAATTCCCTGAATGGAAAACAGCACTAGGGGCTGATTTCAATTCTGCAGAAATTAAGTGTGTGTAAAGTAAGTATAGAAAATGATCCTATGGCTATGTAAATAAAGTTATGAGTTCAAAGACATTTCTCTGTTTACACACACATGCACATATGTATGAATGTATATCTACATGTTATCACACACATTCATGCATACCCATGGACAAACACATATACATATACATATGCACACAACACATATATGTCCATATATATGGGGTTTTTTTCAGGTACTGGGAATTGAGCTCAGGACCTTGAGCTTGCCAGGTAGGCATGGTGCCACCGAGCTACATCGCTGTCCCTCATATGTCTCTCTCTCTATACATATATGAGACAGGAAGATAGCATGTGGCTGTAACTAGCTGGGAAAGTGGGGAAGGTGGCAAGATCCTGGGATACATGCTCAGAACAATTCTCAGAGCCCTGCACGTGGCCTTCTTGCATGAACTCCAGGAGGTTTTTGATGGGGTGACCTGGATGTGACACCAGTGTGGGGGATATAAAAAGTGCTTTATATTGTCTGTGCATGGTAGTCCACCCTACACTGTAGGATGTATTTTTATTTTTCTTCCTTTTTTCCTACTTTTACTTGGCTTACTCAAAGAGCCTGGTTTTTTCCCCCTACCTTCCTGGGGTTTTTTTTCTTTTTCCCTATCTTTAATAAATGTGAAACTCTGTCACTGAAATAAATGTAACATAGTGTCCCCTATTGTTTTATTCAAGTCTTTCTTTGGGATAGAAAGAACCTAAAAATTACCTGTTAGAAGGAGACTCCGGCACCCCAAAATCTGGTAACATATCTACTCATACAAGGTGTGGTAAAAAATACAGTATTTACATTTTTAAATAAAATTTTTTTGCAGTAAAACACACATTGCCACGAATCCTCCTCAAAATACTCCCCCTTGATTTGAACACACTTATCCTATCATCCCTCTTACTCTCAAAAGCAATTCTAGAAGCCTGTTTCATGTCTTTAGTTGCACTATCACGCTGCCTCAATGTCTTGAATTGATTCAAATCTTTCACCTTTCATGGTCATTTGAATCTGGGGGAGAGCTGGAAGTTGCATTCTACCAGATCTGATGAATAAGGTGGATGAGGACACACCATCATGTTTTTAAGAGCCTGCCTTTCCATTGGATGGCAATCAGTACCAACATTCATCATATTTGTTTATCATATTTTAGGAAGACTTTCACAAAAGAAGACTTCCAGAACTGCTTCTGAAAGTGGCAAGAATGATGGGATAAGTGTGTTTGAAGCGAGACAGACTATTTTGAGGGGAACTAATGAATTAATACATTTTAAAAATTTAAACATTAACTATGTTTTGATCATACTTTGTATGTGTATAATGTGCATACATACACATTTCACACATACACTGAGTTCATGAGGGGTGGGATGTCACCTTAAATGCTAGGGGCCCTGAACTCTACACTTGATAGCTGTTTAATGTTTGATGTGTTTGCTTAATTATATGGCTCTGTTGGCCTGTCCTGTTTGTTTATCTTTGATCATTGCTCTTGGAAGTTAATGTTTGAACCTAGTTATAAAGAAATTACAGTCACCGACCTATGGCCCTATATAGAGAGAGGAGGAAGCCCATATAAAGCTGCAAACAGTGGCCAGCCCAGCCAGCAGAGCTGTGGGCCAGCAGTGGGGAGGGAGCCTCTTGGCCACCATGAGTTTCTCTGGCAAGTACCAGCTACAGAGCCAGGAGAACGCCGAGCCTTTCATGAGGGCAGCTGGTGAGTGCTACACAGGCCATCAAGGCCACAGGTCACTGAAGTGAAGGTCTGGCCCCTTCGGGGGCTATGGCTATTCAATGTCAGATGTTCGGATGGGAGGCAAGGTTCAAGTTACAAACAAATTAGAGATGACTTTGGTGATCTCTTGCCACTTGTGCTATTGCTTACTGGATGAGATCACCAAGAGACAAGTGGGAAGAGCACTGAACTAGGGTGGGATCTGCATCAAAGCCCACATCCACTGGTACTTCTTTGCAAGACCCCGTTCACTCATTCATTCATGCATTCAGTTCTTCAGTCATGCATTTTCTGATTCAAGGGCAACCTCATGTCAAGCACTGTGCTAGATACATTGCAGGGAAAAAAAAGAATGAAGAGCAACTTTCCAAGGTCACAGTTTACAGAGCAAAGAGAAGAAATAAATGTAACATAGTGTCCCCTAACATGTAGAGGGGGTGTCTCTGTACCAGGCACTGGACTAGGCACTTGTTATACAGTGCTCCATTTGATCCTCATCAAAAACTCTGAGTTGGGAACAATTATTTTTCTGTTTTACAATTGAGGCTGAGAAAAATAAGTTTCCATGACCAGGGTCACATGGTAGGAAGTGTTTGGGTTGGGACTGGAAGTAGGCACTGCTTCCCACGGACCCAGTTTAACCCTCTGCCTCCCACAGTGCAGGGTGTGGAGGGAGGCAAAGAGGGGAGGTGGTGGTGAAGGGGAGCCTGGGAAGAGGAGCAGTGCCCATTAGGGGACAGGGGAGGGGAGGGTGTGCCAGGCAGAGGGAGCCCTGTGAGCAGAGGGAGGAGTGAGGCAAGGAGGGTGTGGAGAGGGCGAAGAGCATGGAAACAGCGAGCGTGGGGAAGGAGGACCCTTTGGGAATTCAGGTCTTCTTCCACCCATAAGTCACTGCACTTCTATGTCTGGAGTCCCCTCTCTGTGCAGTAGGATCTGCCACTCATGCTGTAAGGACATCCCATGAGCCTCCATTCCTATAACAGCCCAGTTAGTCTGGAACAGCCCCACTTTGTACACATGTAGTGTACTGGCCTAAAAGTACATCCAGTTTGAGTGGCCCAGTTTGGAAGAAGAACTCTCTGGTACCACTAGATATGGAGGACAAAATGCTTACACTCCCACAGCAGATGCATCAGAGTATGAGGAAGCAAGGCATGAGAGGAATCAAGAAGCAGGAATCCCACAAGGGAGGAAAGAAAGATTACAGCATCCAGACCAAGCCCTCTCCTTCCCTTTCCAAGGCTACAGCCCTTGCCACTCACAGGTCCCCAGTATCTGTGGCCTCTGCCTGTAATAGTTTCCCTTGTCTGCCTTGGTCTTGTAATCCCTACCGCTGCTGTCTCTAAACCTTGGATGGTTTCCACCAGGGCTGGCTGAGGACCTCATCCAGAAGGTGAAGGACATTAAGGAGGTGACGGAAATTGTGCAGAATGGGAAACACTTCAAGTACACCATCACTGCTGGGGAAAAAGTGATCCAGAATGAGTTCACCCTGGGTGAGGAGAGTGAGGTAGAGACTACTACTGGAGAGAAAGGGAAGGTAGGAGCCGCTGCTCTTTCTATGCTCTGCTTCCAGAACTTTCCCGGAAGGCTGGCCCCAGGGCTTCCTGCCTCAAGGTTTCTGTGCCTCCCTGTTTCCATCCTAGATACCCCATCTCCAAGACCAACTCTTGGATGGGAGAAGCAAAGAACATGTAGGAAAGCTGGTTTTGTTTTCCCGGAGGCTGCCTGGGGGGTGCTGGCCCCCAAAGTTGAGGTCTCCTGGGTGGAACACATGAAAGGAACTAGACACAGAGCAGAATTCCATGTCTCAGGTTCTCTTTGGCCAGGTTTCTGGCTCTCAATGTCCCTTGAAGAGGGCCCAACAATGGGCAAGTGGAGGCCAGTGAAAATCCTTAACTTAGCCCAAATTGCTCTGATCTTAGCTGAGCCCAGAGCAGGTGGTAATAGGGGCAAAGGTCTTGGATGAGGTGCTGGCAACACCGGAATCTCCAGGCCTAGGTGGACACTTAGACCACACCTTGGGGTGGCCACTAAGCTGATGGCCTTGGCTACCTCATCTGTGCACAGGAGAAGTCAGCCTGTCAGACCAAGGGAAGTGGGCAGGGCGGCTCCATCCCCACAGGTCTGGAGCTCCAGGGCACAATGACACCTAGGACCTGACCTCTGCTCCTCCCCATGATGCACTGCACACCCCACTGTAGCCAGCACCACCCGGCAGCCGTCTTCCTGCTCCCCAGATGGCTCTGTGCATGGGGCTCAGCAGCTCTGTCTTCAGCGCTTCCCATTGCTCTTTATTTCTGCCTCTCCAGATACAATGTCAGAGACTGAGGCAAATCTCAGGACTTTCTTGGCTATGCCCATGGGAAGGGGCAGCCACTGTGGGTTCTACCACAGGCCTTTTCCAGCTGTCCATGTGGAAGGAAATGTTTAACCCTGGCAGTGTCCTCCTCTCCTTGTTGGATTTCCATGTTTGCTCCTCCTGGATGTCTAAGGCTTGGAAAGGAGACCATACAGGAACCATGAATGTTCCTGGGAGGACCATGCAGAGCAGAGCAAAGTGTGTGCAGGGTTCTGATTTCTGACACTGCCTCCTCCATTAGCTTGGAGAATTGAGACTTTATTGCTTCTATTTCAGCATTTGTCCTGGGGACCACTCAGGTGTCCTGTGTGCTTTTCTAGACCACACACCATGGGTTGAAGTTCTGACAGAAGACATCCTGAGGTTTTCTTTCTGTCTTCTGTGCCCCTCTCTTCTGTCAGAACTGAGGGTTGGGAGCACTGAGACCAGAGGTGTTGTAAGCTGACACCTGCACAGGAGAACCGACTCATTAGTGAGGGTCTCACTCTCCACAGACCCTTCCTCACAGGCCTCTCTGTGCCCCACAGGTGGTGGTCAACATGGAAGGTGACAACAAGCTCGTGACAACTTTCAAAAACATCAAGTCTGTGACTGAAGTAAATGGGGACACATTGATCAGCGTAAGTGGGGGCTCTGAGCTTGTAAATCTGGGTGCTGGAGGAAGGAGGTGAAGGGTGAGGAGCAGCTGCACCCCTCACCCCATGCCTCACTTTCCTCTCCTGAGCCCCAAATTCTCCACCTTTCTGTATCTGCTGCCGCTTCACTGAGGTTCCCTTATGTGCCAGGAAGTTTACATAGCATCTCTAAGCTTCCCAACAGCAATTTTCTAAAGGGGAAAGTGGGCCAACAAACAGCCATGAAATGGCGGAGCCAGGGTTCCTCTGAGCTGGGTCAGCCTTCTGGGCTGCCATCCACAGTCACTCTCAGGGGACGTTGCTCAGACACCAGACTGTGTGAGTTTGTGTACTTAGGTGTGGTCTAAAAATTCGACAAATGTTTACATTTTTAAAATGTATTACAGTAGGACATGTTGCCATAATCCCCCTCATAATGCTCCACTCCCTTCAGACAGACTTTAGTGTCTTCGGTTGTGTGGTCATGACTGGCTCAATATTCTGAATTGATTCTAAATCCTTACCTTTCATGATCATTTTGTCTTTTGGAAAAGCCAGGAGTCATGTGGTGCCAGATCTGATGAATAAGATAGAGGAAGACCCACCATAGTGTTTTTATTGCCTACATTTCAGTTGGTTGGCCCTTGGCAGTGACATTCACAGTTGTTTGATCACACCTCATAAAGACACTCACAAAAGACCATGTCCAGAGTTGCTTTAGGAATAGACAAGAATGAGGGATAAGTGTGTTCAAAGTGAGGGGGAACATTTTGAAGGAGTTTAATGGCAATATGTCCTGCCCTCCTTCTTTCCCTCCTGCCTGCCCACCCCCACCTCCTCTCCCCTGTTTCCTGATGCCATGGAGTATGAGAGGAGTTTGGCAGGAGAGGCACAGGGACATGCAGAGCAACCAACACAGCTCATATTTCTAGTTTCCAATGGGACAAAGCTCAGAGTAGAGGGCAGAAATCTCTTCATCTGCAGGGGTCCCCTCTTGCAGGCCTCATGGCTCACATAGCACCTCTTCCCATGGATGCAGTGGCCTCACACAAGGAGGCTTTGTTTGACCAAAATATCAGGCTCTTTCGTTGCTTCTATGCTATCACAGTAATAAATAGCCACAGCCCTTTCTCCTGCCTCAGCACTAACCACAAGCCAGAGAGTCCTCCAGCTGCCCTATCAGTTCCAGGGGCCTAATAAATGCCTTTACCCATTTGTCGGTATAGAATCACATTTGTGACAAATGCATGGCCAGTATGAGTGTCACACTCCAGGTCTGCAGTTGTCTTCATTGCTTGGCTGTTAGTCAGATCCTATCCCAAGTTTTAGAGTGAATCTGCAGTATGTATCATGCAGTTGTGTCCCCCTCAGTCTTCTTTGCTCTGAAAGTTTGCTTTAGGGAGTCAGAGAAGGCAGAATCTAATCTAAGGAGGCTCTGGTCACCAGGTTCAAGTGGGAACATCCCTCAGGCAGTGGCAGTGTGAGCATCAACTCCCCACACTGGCACCTTTACAGCAGGACAGAGGAGCAGGAGATGAGGTGTCCAGGAGGAGACCTGGCCAACATCCTCTGATAGCTCCATCTTGCCTAATCCTCCTGTCTCCTGTGAGGCAGGTCAAATTGTTCTGTAGTCAGATCAACTGGTGTTCCATGCACATGTGTCCTTGGTGCTTAACATGGTTTTGATCCGTAGCTAGTGCTCAATATAACTTTGAGGCACTGGATTGGACTAGCCAGGGCTGGGTGATGTTTCTATCTCTGGCACTGATATATAAATGAATTCAGCAAATGGAAGCACAACTCTCCACAGAAGAAAGTGAAATGACAGACTTAACATAGAATTTAAAAAATAATTGTTACCTCTTCCTCTGGTCCTATGGAAAACAGAGGAATCATAAAGTTATTTCATGTATTACTATATTTTGGAGTATTTGGGATACCTTAATCATTTATTTTTACCATTTCACATCAGGTGAACATCTCATGATTTCTTTTCTGGCTTTTAGACCCTGATACTGGGTGACATTGTCTTCAAGAGAATCAGCAAGAAAATTTAGACAAGTCTGCATTTAAAATTCTTTACTGTATAAAATTAATGTAATAAAGTGAACTCTGTTTTAAGAAAATATCTCTTTTTTGTGGTGACTTCTTACTGATGATGTTGTTGGTATCACGAGCTCTGATCATTTGCCTTTTTGTAAATTTTTGTAACCACATGTTCTCCTCAATCAGGTGTTGAGTTTTTTTCTTGCCCTGAAACAGAATGTAAGCTGCCAGCCCATAACAGAAAAGTTAGGTGTGCCTGGATCTGCAAGGTGGCCCTAGAATGCCCTCCCCAGGCAACTAAGTGACAAAGAACCAGATCAAGGGCAGTAGGCTGTCCTTGGGTGGCTCCATACAGAGACAGAGACCAGGAGCCCTGGGCAAGCAAGGGAGAACTGTGCCCATGAGCAGAGCCATCATGGCCCATACACCACAGGACAGGCACAAGGGGCCAAGCACTGACCCACTAAAGCAACAACTTTTCTTCCTATGAGAGGGCTGAGTGAGAGATTTAGTGAGGGGAGCCAGAATTGGATAGAAGCACCTTGACTGGAAGTTCACTCCATCTTATGGGAAGAAGCAGAATGTAGAAGGGGATAAAGTTCCTGAACACTACTTTTAATAGGCAACTCAAAATGTAAAGTTTGTTTATTTTTACAGTAATCAGGGATGAAGGAAGTAAGATGAGATACCCAAAGTAAAAATCAAGTAGTAAATAGTCAAAATGTTGGTAACACCCAAGGTTTGTAAGGATGTGTTCGATGGCTCCACCTTCAGTGATAGAGATGTAAACTGGTGAAGCCTAAATGGATGAAGCACCATTTGATGGTCTCCCTTAATATTTTCAGTGTGAAGCCCACAACTCCTACCACTGCCACAATTGTACATCTCCCTAGAGAAGTGTTTATGCACATGCACAAAAAAAGAACATAAAGATTATGATGACTGCGAGTTGGAAACAGATGCTCATTGGTAAACATTTTATACAGCCATGCTCTGAAATAATCTACAATGAATTAACTGAATACAGCAAGTGGATCTAAATGTGCTGACATGATACAAATATCACATTTTCTCTTAGATAAGTCATATTTTTTTAAAAAAAGAAGTTTCAGAACAATATTGACAGTATTCCCTTCATGTAAATTTTGATACAGCACAAGATTATCTACTTATATACATGCATAGTATATGAACTCATAGGAAAAAGTCCAGAAGACTGGAACACCAGATAATAGCTATTATCTCTAAGGTAGGAACAGAATTGAGAAGTCAAGAGCTTTTTGCAAGATTTACATGTTTCAATTTTTTTTTTGCAATGGGCTAACTTTGTAGAATTATCTTTTAAATGAGAAATAGATTTTTTTAAAACCAGATGATTTAAGTGAAAAATATTTAAGTGAAAAAAATTGAGCTTGAAGGCATGGTTATACCAAATTAATGCATGATTTTGAACCTCAGCTTTCTAACCTGTAAAATGGTAAATACAATACCTTTAGTTGTGGATTTTGTGAGGAGCCCGTGAAATGATACAAGCCAAATGCCATCCTGACAAAACATGTTACTATTTCCATTCTCAGATTCCTTGGGGAACACAGTTCCCCATACACTAGGGTATGATATTCAGAGTATTCACAGAACATCTGTAACGCCCAGAGAATTTAACTGCTAAGTCCAGGGACAAAGACATGAGGAGAGATGTTGGCTTTGTCCACTTAGCTGATAAATGTTAGAACTGAGCCACATTCACTCTGCACTTGCAGGAGAAGCAGAAGGTGAAGGTACAGCCTTCTCAGCAAAGCCTCCAGGAATTCCCAGAGACTCTTCCTAACAAGGATTTGTTTGAATGTTTTTGCCTGACGGGGAGAATTGATTTTAGATGCTAATTTTGGAATTTTGTGTAAGTGCTCAGATAAATTTGGGTAGGAAGTCTGTTTTATATAAATAAAATAAGTATCTTTGGATGGGATCAGCTATTTTTACCTTCATCCCTCCCTACTCTTCACTGCCTGTCCTGTTGGTGTCTCTACAAGAGGGGAAACTCATTCATATGAGAGCACATTGATTGTTAATGGAAGGTTCTGATACTCATAATCACAAAGAAACAAGTCATTTCTTACAAAAAAAAAGAAAGGCTGTGGCAATGGGGCTGGGGTGGAGGAGGAAGTCTAGGTCCATGGTTGATATTCAGAGCACTTTTTCTTTTACATGGTGACCATCCCATTGTATTTTGGTATTTCTTACTAACGTCAGAGGAGATCTGAAAGCATCCAGAGGTGCTCTTCAAAGAGTGTGATGAAAGTGGGGCTTGGAAAGAGAAGAGAGACTGAATTGCCACAGTGAATTTTCTTTTCTCCTGAGAGATAACAGAAAATCAGTGAGGAGTTTTTAGCCCTGAAAGTAACATAATGTGAAATACAAGTAGAAAAATCACTGTGGCCATAGTGAAGCTCCCAAGTATATTTGTTTCTTTGTGTACTCTAAAATGAAGTAATTCTGAGAGATTTCCCCAAGCAACAATTATGTCTGGCCTTGAACAAGTGTTATTTGTGGATACACTGGTGGTGTGGTGGGGAAGTTCATTAGGGTGAAGAGTGGTAAGCAGAGGCCTTATACATGTTTCAGGTGGCCCTGAGAGATAGAAATTTCACAATACAGATTTTATTCCAGTTTAAGTAACGATTCCTTCGACAATCTAACTATGCATTCTGTTACTCCCATGTAGCAAAAACCCTTTTATAGATTGATAAACATTAAAAATTCATGCACTCCAATATTAAACCAATTACCAAAATGTAAATATTTCCACTATGGCCAAGATCAAGGTATGAGTGTGAGGAAGGCAGAGTTAAGAAGAGATGCACATGGTCAGTTCTCACAGCTGACTTCAGCACACCCCTGTTTGCCTCTACCTCTCATCTTTACTTTCTAACTGGAAGAAGGGACACTTCAGCACAACATAATTGGAAGCAGTGAAAGAATAAGTCATGCTCAATTGAACACATAAGACAGGTGAGGCACTGTTCTCAAGGCTTTATTTACATTTAAGAAACTTAGTTCTCATAGCAACCCTATGCAGAGAGAGAAATGAGGAAACTGAGGCATGGATTGCCATGGTTTAAATAGGAAGTGTGACCACCGCTCCCTGCACACAGGAGGAGGTTTCTGGGGCGCCATACCACTGTTCCTCATGCAGAGGAGGGGTCTTCTAGGCTCCCGTACCACCACTCCACATGCAGAGGAGGTGAGCCACACAGGTGCCAGCAGCACCCCTTCCCCCACCGTCAAAATGAGAAGACATGTAAACAAGACTCAAAACCAGACTTCCATATCACCTAAAGCCACCCCAAAGGGAAATGAGATGTAGCACTCTGATACTAAACCGCCTGGATTCCCTGAACTGGCAACAAAAGAGGATCTGGAAAAAATGAAATCAGAAATAATTTCTCAGATAACAGCAGAGATTGTGCTCATAGTGCA